GGTGTCTGCGTGTCCTCCAGGGGCGGCTTTGGGTCCTCCAGGGGTGGCTGCGGGTCCTCCAGGGGCCAAGGGCAGCCCCAGCTCGGATGGCAGCAGGACCGTCCTGCCCTGTGGGACAGGGGCAGTTTCAGCTCTGGAGCCATCCCCAGTGTCACAGTGCCCTCCTCCCTCCACAGCCACCGTGTTCCTGGAGCTCTGGAAGAGGCAGAGAGCCACCGTGGTCACCGACTGGGACCTGTACGGCTGGGATGAGGAAAAGGGGAGGACATCATCTCTCCTGCCTAGCACCTCCCCGTCCAGGGGACAGCTGGGCCTACAGAACACATCACGGGGACCACCTCGCCCAGCTTGACTCTCTGTGGATAGAAACATCTCAAGGAGACAGCTAGACAGCAAAGCCAAGGGCTGACAGCCCCAGGACAGACAGAGAGAGTCAAGCAGATGCTTGCCACTCCTCTGCGTTGCTGGCCACCTCTCCACTTGCACAAGGGCCTGAACTCAATCGGGACTGGCCACACTGCTGTGGGCTGGGTTGGGTGTTCACCCCTGTCCTCCTCTGACGCTGCTCATCCCACATGCCCATTAACACAACGGCCCCTGGGCTTTGCACTACCTGGGCACAGCTCTGCTGGATCCTTCTCTTCTCTTCTCTTTCAAAGGAGGAGCTGGCACTGGAGCTGATCAATAACTTGCAGTATGAGCCCCGGAAGTACCAGCACTCCTACCTGCGCAGCACCGTCGTCCTCCTCCTGGCTCTGCTGATGGTACGTGCCAGGGCCACCCCAGGAGGTCTGGAGTAAGGACACACGGGCCTTTCTCCTTCTGTCCCTGCTCTGCTGCAAGAGGAGCACCTCAGGGCGCCCTGCTGCCGGAGCAGGGGCAGGCAGGTTGTTAGGGCAGCTCTGTGCCCATCACCTCGCCGTGCCGACGGGAGAGGCCAAGCACCCTGGGGGCCTGGGCTGCAGGCTCTGCCCTCGCAGAGGCAGGCGGCGAGGGGGGCAAGGGGCCAGCCCCGGACACCCGTGTTCCTCCCCACGGGCCAGAGTCTAGAGGGACGCTCCAGGTGGAGACACCCCCTTGGGGACCTCCCAGCCTCAGCCGAGGGGCAGGGCTCGCCCCCGGGGCCACCCCCAGGGGAGCTGTGGGCGGGTGACGCTGGCGTGCCCCGCAGATCGCCCTGCTCATCGGCATCGCCCACGCGCTCGTCGTCTACCGGGTGGTGGCCACGGCTCTGTTCAGCCAGAGCGAGCTGGAGCTGCTGCGGGAGCAGGCCAACACCGTGGCCGTGGTGACGGGGGCCGTGCTGCACTACGTCACCATCGTCATCATGACCAAGG